TCTTTCCCTTGGTCCCCTTTGAAAACGCTAGTTTCCGAGAGTGATGACAGTGGTTATGCAAGCCCTTTGTCTTTCTAATGCCTTCGCAGACAGTCGTGCTGCTTGATCTGCAGGAAATAAGACTACTTCATTCATCTGTTTGCTTATCCGTTCTGAAACACAGTGCGTTTTATTTCAGTCCAGAGATGGTAATTTATGGCGGGCTAAATTCCCTCTAATTAATCTCAGCAAAGACCCCCTTTCTTCTTCCATTGTGTGGCAGAAAAATGAGGTTTTAACTGAAAGAGGCTCAGTGTATTTTCAGAAATTAAGATAAATTGATACATTCATCTGTGGCTGATAGATTTAATAATTCTGCCGGCATGGCAAGAATAGGAGGTTTGTTCAGAGAATTTATGAAGCTCTGACACTTCCTGGCAAGCTTAGGGCTATGTTTGTACCTAGAGGAGCAAGCTGAGATTTTACAGTTAAGAGAGATGCTGTCAAATCATTTAAGGCCCTGGGTGCAGCCTTCAATGTATGTGCTTATGTATGGACATGGATGCCTGTCAAAAGCCCTATGTAGCTTCAGATTATATGGCAATGAAAGGCATTTGCTGTTAGATAAGTGCCAGATTTGTAGCCTAGCCTAATCCCAGCGGCACACAGGCCAGTTGTGTTGTGGGCACAGGCCCTTCGGACCCCTGCACCAGGCTGCCTCTGCTACCAACGCCTACGTGTGGTGGTTCTTGCTTTCACAGCTGCCTCCATCCCCCCCACACCTGCCAGGCATGTACACGCTGCAGTTCACACTTTGCAAATCCATTTGCACCTGTGCTCTGATTCTCGCAGCTTATGTTTTTATTTTAATAACCAGCACCGTTAAAAGCAGAATAATGAGCCAGCATTCGCACAGGAACTGGCAGTGCCGTGGCTTTTTGCTTTCTTGAGCAGACAAACCGGTGTCCTCGAGTTGCTTTTCCATTCGGGAAGCAAGCGGCGGTGCGTTGGCTTCTCTGTAGGAAACGCAGCAGGCAATGTATTGGTGCTCGGCAAACAGCACTCGGCCTGAATCAGGAGAGGGATTTAATTTTATTAAGAGAAGTGAGATCTTCAAAGTGGGCAGATGAGCAAGGGAAGGGGGTTGAACTGCTCCAAGTTGGGGTAAGTCTTCAGATGCAGATCGCAACTGGCCAGCTCTCCAGATGCTCCACTCCAGAGATTATTCACACAGAGGATGCTCCTTTCATGTTCAGCGCTGTAATGCAAGGCTTTGTCCTGCTCCTGCCCCTTGCTAATAGCTTAAGGGATTGTGCAATTGATATTCGATGTAGAAAATGTGGACCGGGATGTTCTCCATTGAGACATTCGTGGCCGGTAACCCGTGGAGCATCATGGTACAAGTCCAATAACCCCGACGTGGGGGAAGAAGAAAAGAGGGTTGCCCTTTCTGGTCAGAAATGGAGGGGTTGTTTCCTTGACACCAGCTCCAAAGAGGAGTTGCTTTGGTCCTTTAATGCCTTTGTTGGTCTTGACAGGAAAGGGAGAATTGGCTTAACTAGGCTGGTGCATGTTGTGACCCGAGTGGGGGGGAAGGAGGGGTCCTCCAGATCTTGGAGAACGTGCGGCATGCACCGGAGAAGGTCATCGGTGGTGGGACAAAGATCCTGCATGCAGGTGGACTGGAAGTGTTTGCTGCAAAAGACCATGAAGATTTATGACCGCTTTTGTCCAGCTGAATCTTTCCCTGCATTTCTGCTTTGAAAACTATCACGAGTAGCCAGTTTAGCTACAGGTCTCCTGAATCACTTGCCATCTTGTCTTTTAAATTGGGGTGGGGAGGTCACTAACAGCTAGGAGCCCTAGTCAAAGCCCAGGACCCACCGTGCCAGGTATGGTACAAACAGAGCAAGAGCTTTCTGTCGAAGGACAGCAGAAGAGTCATCCAAAAGGGTCCAGAGCCACGACCGGGAAGTACAAGGAAAAGGAGCGCGGAGGTGGGAGGAGAAAAGTCTGTCTCCAGGCAGTTAAAAACTTTGTAAGTCACAATTTTTGCTTGCCTCTGCAAAAACCTGCAGTATTTCATTTTCCTCAGCTGCCGTAAGTCAGTGTAAACATACCAGCTAATAGATCCCAGAGCAGCAGGGCTCATTAACAAGTAATTAACTGTCAAACAATAGGAAAGCTATGTGTCCATGTGGAAGACTGAAAACACTGATGCCTATCAAAAGTGAGAGATTTGTTTGTACAGCAGTAATAGGTTGAGAGAGGCAAGGGCAGGGGAAGAATAAAATCCCTGGAACCTGTGCAGAGGCCTGGGCTGTTATCTGAGCATCCCTAATTGCCGGGTACAGATTAGGGTAATGGTAGCAATGACACGAAAATAATGTGCTTCACGGAGGACCTGCGCAAAGTGTTGCACTCGCCTGCAGCGTGATGAGCAGCGGCAGGAAAACTCTCCACCTTCAGCTGGAGCAGGTTGGGCACCCAGGTACGGCGCAGAGAGATGGGAGCCTTTCTTGAGAGCACAAGATGGGTGCATTTTGGCAACTCTGCTATGCTTACCTGGTGCTTTTTATTTCTAAGCAACTGCAAACAGGGCCTTCTGCGGTTTGCCAACCTTAATTCAGGCTGCAATCGCCCGGGCTGGATGGTGTCTCCAGGCT